TTGAATATTAAAATTCAACGAGGCCAGAGTGCTCACTCATGTTCTCACTCACCCTGGGATTTCCATGGCAATCAAGTTTAACCAGAATTTCCCACTTAAGCCATCAGCTTCAGTGGAGTTTTTTGGGCTGCCAGCTGCCTTCGCTTCTTTACCTTTTGTGTCCCAGTTGACCTGGTTGCCCATTGTCCCCATTGTCCTTGCCCGGGGAATATATATACGTATATGTCAGCTATTTGATGGTCCATCTGTTTATCCGACTGTCTATCTGTCACTCTGTTTGTCCCTTTGTCCATTTGTGCATTTGTTCGTTTGTCCGTTGGTTCGTTTGTTCGTTTGTCCGTTTGCCAGTTGGTTCGTTGGGCGCCAACTTTGTTAATGTGCTGCTGGATTGTCTACGACGCTTAGTGTATCCAAGGGAAGCCCAACTTTGAACAAAACCATGGGTGTTTGAAAACAATTGCTTGGGGATGAAATATCTTATTTGAAAGTGTGAAATTCTGCTTAACTTTAAACAATATTTTAACACTTTAAATAATATTTTTATTCAATATTTAAATTATTATTCCAGTTTTCATATAGAGTATAGAGCCATGCGCAACTCATTAAATAATGACTTTCTCCGTATTTTTTGATTGACTTGAAGGCTAGGTTTTTTTAAGGGAATAATACCAATGATTTGTGTGGGGAAAGTGGCCAAGGTTGGAACCGTTTTGCGGTCACTCAGCAGTTCATTTTTACCGCATTCCAATGTGATATCCGCTTCCGTTTCCGCTCTCGCATTTTCCGCTTTCCCATTTCCTTTGCTACTACCCACTCCCTCCCATTTTTTTTCAGCGGGTGCGAAGTAATTGGCTGCAAAAATGCTGCCATAAATCAAACCGATAATTATGTGGGCGACTGCGCAACTTTTTCGCACCAAACCAAAAACCATCATCGCAAATAACCGAAAAGTAAAAATACAAAAAATACAAAAAATACAAGAAGAAAAGAAAAGGGAGCCAGGCTCATTTTGATTGCCATCCATAAATTATGATTTGATGTGCGAAATAGTTGGGCGCCAGCAAGGCCGGATTGTCGGTGGGTGGTAGGTAAATGCAGCACAAGGTCGTGAGTTTTTTGTATTTCCCAATTCTTTTTTGCTTCTCGTCTCGCTTTGGCGCTGCCTTCTGTGTCTGCTGGCGGCCTTCGCCGCTCGCCAGTCGCGTCCTTGAGTGGGTGGTGCTCTGGGTGGCTGGTACTCTGGGTGGCGGAGAAAGTGAAACCGGGGCGGGGGCAACTCCAGGCTTTACTTTGTGGCCGTGGCATGATTAATTGCTCATTGTTGCGGCGGCCACATCGTAAATTGCTTTCACGTTTCGTGAATCTCGTGTCAGGCGCACGTGAATGCCATGAATAAGAGCGGAATGAAACGGAATGGAATCGGCCTAGAACTTTGTCAAAAGGATAAGGCTGCACTGGAAAAAAACTAACCAAATAGCACTAGTTTCGTTTCAAACTTTACCCCAATCTGTTGCGATTTTGAAGAGCCGTGTAAGAATTTTTTTTAACAACTACTACTTTACTATTTACAATAGAACCCTTCATTAGTTCAAGTCTCTTTTTAAAAATTGATTGACACTACTCAAGTTAACGCACTAACAAGCCACTAACGTCGGATATATAATATTTCTTTAAAATTGTTCCTTCATATTAAAAGTTATTTTCTCAGTGTTCTGAGACCGAATTTGGGATCATCTCGTGTCATCCAGGCAAACGTTTAAGGCGTTCCGCATTGTTTGTCTTCCTGCCCTGAGCTTTTTCCTCCGCCCGGCTAATGTTACATTATTAATGCATCTGCATGAAGCTTCCTCAAGCCTTCGTATGTAAATTAAGGCCCAGGCCAAGGGATTTTCCCACTTTCCCACCTAAAACCCACCCCCCTGAATTTCCTCGTTGCCAGGACGTGCTCACCGAAAAGGGCCAACAAGATGGGGAAACCAAAGCAAGAGTAATTCTTGTCTGTTACTCTAGAAGTGATAAATGATTGAGAAAATATTCGGATATATCGCAAATCCAGGCTGCCAAACTGGATTTGGCACAGCCCAAAATTTGCGTATAAGATTGCTACCATTTAATATGATGTATAAAGTGTATTGTTTGCCCAATCAAATCATCCCCCCAATGACCCCATTTCGACTAATTATTTTTTTTTATTTCCACATCTCATACTATAAATTAGTCTCATGGCAAACTCGTTAAAATTCCGCTTTCCCTTTGAGCAGCTTAACGCAGTAAGCGGGGATAATCCCAGAATGTGTTCATCTGCCATCATAATTAGTTCTTCGCAATGAATGTGAAATGTAAATTCAAGTGTTGTCATTGCCACTGCCATTTCACTTGTTCTCGCTTTGTTCACCTGTTTTTTCCCCAACCAATTACTGTGGCTGGCCCCCATAAAAAACTAAATTGAGCCAAGTATCTTTTGTTGCATATAAATGACCTTATAATATAGTGTGCAAGAGCTTTTTTTTTTTAATGCGCTCTAGTGGCTTTGACAAATACATTTTTTGAGTAATGTTTAATTACTAGAATTATGTATTTTTCATGTTTTGCATATGTTCATTTGGGTGGACCAGATTTGAATAGATATTTTAAGGGCTTCCTTTCTTAAGGTGTACCCAAAAAAAAATTGTTTTAAAAATTGGTTTCAGGGTCCGCGCATTGACTTTAAAGTTTATCACTCATACGTACTGTTGACCGTAAACCAAAAAATGTATTTTCATCAAGGTAGAGTAGGCTAATGAGTAATTGACCACCCTAATATTCAAATATTTACCATGAGTACTTATTCTAAACCCATTCATGGTTATTGAAAACTTTCGCTTAATTCGAGTACTATCAATGCTAGTTCCTCCAAAGTTGCTTATAAATCAGATTACTCTCTTATATGGAAACCGTAGGACTTGTCGCACTGCAAGGGAATTTGAGGCTAAACTTTCTTTCTTATAGAGCTTGGCGCCGTTGTAGCTGTGGTTGCTTTTGCTTTTGCTCTGGGTATTTCAGTTGGTGTTTTTCCGACCTAGCAATAGCAATCACGATAATAAGCATAAATAAAAGGCCAACAAAAAATTACACAGCCATAAAAAAGGGCAAATGGCATGAAAGCGAGTGAGCGAGCGAGCGAGCGTGGGGCTGCCAGCCATGGCCCAGACCCCAAGCTTCAACCCCAACCCCTCCATCACCATCCGTCTTTGCTGGCCAAGTGGAAGGGGCCAAATAGCCCAGACCAACCCAGACCAACCCAAACCCAAACCCAAACCAGACCCAACAAACAAACAAACAAACAAACGTCGAGAATGAGAACACAAACAAGTTCTGTAGTGGGCTGCAACCACTGAACAACCTCGTAAAAACTTATTTAATTTGTGATTTATATGAATAAAATTGTGTAGTAAATTCCCTGAAATTATTCATTTCGCAGCGCTTACGGGCTGGTGGACAGTTCGAAACAGGACAACTTGCTCGAAAAGAAAAAAGAAAATTACACAGCAAAAAAAAAAAAATCAATTACAGATTTTTACTCCAAGATATAGGCTGATTATTACAAATTAGCCAAATGAATCTCTGGGTAATTAATTGAAAAGCAAAAATGGATTTTTATGCTCTTGGCTTAAATTAATTTTTTAAATTGTGGGGCTAAGTACTTAGGCGTATTTAATAGTCTTTGATAAAATACAACTTTGAGCTACAATTGAACTAAAATATCATAGCACGCTTATAATTTTAAGAAGTCCTATTTAAATGTTTCAAAATCTTAAAATAATATAGCACATTTATAGATCATACTTTTATTTCAACTACCAAATACCCAAAATTTATTTCTGTGTACAAACTGTGATGGAGGAAAAAGGGGAAAAAGATGGGGTCGAATGGATAAACTGAGCACAAGACCAAAACAAGAACGCTGCCAAAATCAACTGCTGAGGAGACGGCGACAACAGCAACATCAAGTGTACCAGCAGCAACAACAGCAGCAACAACAGCAGCACCATCAACGACAACAGCAACACACAGAAATAAAAGAAAAGTTTTTGCTGGCTAACCAAAGAGTTTCACATTTTTGATTTACTCTCGAGCAGCAGAATCGTAACTTTTGCGCATATAAATTTAGGGCCAAGCGATGGTCAAACAACTCTCTACTATATTTTCCTCCGAAATTCCCTTCTCCTTAAAACAGAGACCCTAAATTATTTTAGCCTCCCCCAACCCCTTTTCGGCTTTCCTACGTCGAGACTTTTCCGGGGGATTTCGTTTTGTTCAAATGATTTTCGATTTCCAACTAACCGCAATTTGGTCTGGAAATTTCTGAGCTGACCCCAATGGGAGCGGTAAAATGCTGGGGTTTCGTCTTATGAATTTAGCAGTTTGAGATCTGGATGAGAATTTTCAAAAGAGACATTAGAAATAGCTTCTGACATTTATGCCATCGATTGGCCCGTAATTATTTAGCAATTTATTACCATTTATTCTTTCCAGGGGTGCCAGGTATCACTTACAAAAGTTGTGGAATAATTAAATAAACATTAAGTTGTTGGAAGGCTGCGGGCATTTTTAAAAGTACTTGTGTGGCTAATTGTTGTTTTTGCATTGTAAAGTTACATTAGATTTAAATGGCATGGCCCCAAGACATTTATTCTTATATGTATTTGCCAAGAAATTATAGAAATTGTTGTTTTAATGAGCCTGAAGTAAATTGTAGAAAATTACAAAGGACATGTTGGAGACGAAATGCAATTAACAGAATAAATACAAGTCAATTTAGAAAATTGTAATTATGTTGCGATTAAAAGTGTCTCACTCAAGCAATAAAATTAAACATTGAAATTAAAGGAGAGTTTTAATAATACAAATAATTAAGTAATTTCTTTGGTTTGGTGTTGATATTGGGGGGTCATATAATAATAATATAATATAAGTTCGGGAGTTTTGGGTAGCTGGGATGAGTAATATCATTTACTTACCGCTCTAGCATCGCATCGCATTCCGAGGCCGATTAGCAGGCAAAGTCCCAAAAAGGGCAGCAGGCAGCGGGGTCGCAGCATTTCTTAATATTTTTTAATTAATTTTTGTCTTGGTCTTTTTATACTTTTGTGGATGTTCTCAATTTTTGGCGCTCACTATAAAAAAAAGGAACAATTATCTTGACGGTTGTTCATTAACGCGTCGGCACGAAAGGATTTTATTGTTGAGGTCCTTTGAACACACACACACACACCCCCCTCTCCCCCTGTCAGCCTTCCTCCTTTTCTTTCTGCCCCCCCCCTCTACCCCACTTAAAAAATATTTTTGGGCTGTCCACGCGACAATAACAAGGTATAAAACATTTTGCCGGCTACGCGGCGACTTGTTTACTTTCACTAACACACACACACAGACACACAGACACACACACACACGCAGACACCTACGCTCGCAGGATATGAAATACAGAGAGAGAAAAACAGACAGAGGGAGAGCCTTTTCAGGAGCCCCAAAATCACAACGAACCGAACGCGCGCGCGGCACGAATTGTTCTGGCTGCTCGACGGCGAAACAGTTCCTTTTTAATGTCCTGCCACGGCGAATAGCGAATGCCTAAAGACGAATGGCGAGGGCGAAAGCTCTGCGGCGAATTGGGCTCCCTGCCGAGCGAACACGAGTTGGGGCGAAGCGAATGAAGTTTATAAAATGTACGTGACTGTGGCTCGCTTGGAGCATGAAGTGTGCTAAGCTTTGCTTCTAGTATGCCGCCCCCTCCCCCTAATCCCCCTTTTTTTTGCCACCCACGACCATGCCCCCATGCCCCCATGCCTCCAACCCCTCTTTTGCCTGTGCATTTGGCACAAAATGCTCAAGGACACTTGCCCAAAACTCGCACCAGGCCCAAAACCAACTGCTGCACCTGCAAAAATCCTGCGGCGTTCCAAAGAAAGGCAATTAAAATTCAGGAAGATTCTTAAGTCGTTATGGTTTTAAAACCAAAGCCGAAAATTTACACCTAACCATCAAAACTGTATAAAAGTACTGTCTATCTTTTGTCAAATTATTATTATTATTGTTATTATCATTATTATAAATAATAATAATTGTTCACAAACATATTTGAAACCTTCAAATGCAGAACAAATTAAATTAAGCAATTTCCAAAATGTATAAATTTTTAAATAAAAAAGAAAAAAATAGTTTTAGGCCAAAACCAACTACATGCACTAAACAATTAAAATATTGAAATACAATAACTTTCTGAATGTACTCCCAACTCCAAAAATAAAAATATTATCTCATATATCTCATATTTTCAGACAAATCTATCTAAAAACATAAAAACCCGGTAAGATTGAAATGAACCGAGTAATGAACAAAATAATCTTTAAATATGTTTCGATTTTAACAGTATTGTATTTATAAATAATTTTTTTTTTAATTTTAATAATCACTACCGAGTTTCTCTATGTGTACGACCCCCCCCGCAAGCCCATGTCGCCAACTAAAAATGGCGATGGGGGGCAGGACAAGGACTCTTAATGCTTTCATTGTGCAGCAATTCTTTATTTTTAGTTGATTTGCTTGGACATTTTCGGTTAGTTCTCCGTCTGTGTCTGACCTTGCCACCCACGCCGTTCTATCACCCACCACCCATCACCTACTGTTCACCGCCCGCCCAGCACTCCAATTAGAATTGTGTGTGTTTCCCGAGGTGGACAATGGCTGCCACTTGAACTTCACGCGCTCGATTTCACTTCCATAAGTTTCAGTGGCATAATCCCTGGCCAAGCCCCATATCCGCCCCACTTCTACTTCCACTTCCACTTCCACATCCACTTCCATTTCCACTTGCAGCTCCATGTGATGTCCCTGTCGATGTCGTTTGTGTAGTTTCCGTAGTTTAAGGATTACACTTGTCCGGTTACTACCCTTTCCCAGTAGGGATATCCATAGTTGGGCAATCGAAACACCCATGCAAATTGGGGCAGGGCATTCCATGTTCGTGGTGTCACTACCACGGAATATACACATATATTTGCCCAGCCAGGAGTCCGCTGTTGTGGTGCCGCCATAGATGTTGTGTCGCATTCGGATCCAAGGATCCAAGTATCCAATCTTAAGCCGCCCTAATACCTTTCCTAATGGCTCCAATGCTCTCCATTAGCGCTACTGGACGCCACTTAATGCCACACGTAGTCCGAATGGAAATGCGACCTACTCGACGGCATTAGAGTGGGGTAGTCCTTGGATAGGTTGGTTAGGGTAGGTGGGTGGTCAAAGTCGGAGTCGGAGACCCATCCCCATGCGACATCGGCTGTTCTGCTCTGTTCTGTTATGTGCGGCACCCCGGGTTGATTGGTTAATCAATGCAAAACATCGCAGTCTCCGGACCTCATCAACACAATGGACCCGCTAATGCCTTACACAATGCGCCCATTATGTGTGGGCACCAAGAAATATTGCGGATCAAATATATGAAACTAATGACTAGGTTGTCTAAACGTTTTCAAAAAGTAACACAATTATTTGATTTGTTTATTTTAACTTACCATCTAAACAATTAGTTTATTACTTATGAAATTTACTTATGAATTAAATGTTACAAAAAGAATTAAATACTGCCTAGTTTTATTTGATGATTAAATAAACTAAATAAACTAAAAAATCAGTTAATAAATAACATTTAAAAATGTAAGATACGACTTGATTAGACTTCAAACCCCTAACCTTAATTTACCCAACTAGTAAAACAATAGATAGCCATTGGAAAATGGCTCAGCTAGTGCTGCCGTTCCACAGTGTGCTTTACCATCCACACAATTCCGACCTACCTCAACAATAAAGCGATCCAGCTGCCAGAGCTTGGGATCCAACATGCCATCCATACACCATCTGATTGAAAAAGCCCCCCTATCTTGGCCAGCTGATCATCGGTTTCAGTTGCGTGTGAAGTCTCCACGTGTTTGGCATCGCGGAACCATAAACAACTTGTAAAATGAAAAACTGGGAACAGGAACAGGAACAGAAACCTTGTGACATAGAGGTGCGACAGGTGGGCGAAGGGGAAACGGAGGAGCTAATGGCCTTCCTGCTGGTCCACTACTACCGCGAGGAGCCACTTACGGCGGGCACCAGTCCACCGGAACCGGAGCCGGCGGACAAGGAGTTCCTGCTGTCCAACGTGCCCTTTGGCACCTGCTTCATGGCGCTGCAGGGCGGCCGGATAGTGGCTGCCGTGGTGGCCGGACCCAAGGACGCCCATGAACCGGAGCATGTGGCCGAGGAGGCCAGGAAGCATGCCGGCAGCAAGTGGGGACGCATCCTCCACCTTCTCTCCGCCGTGGAGAGTGCCACCGATGTGTGCCGGCGCTTCAATGTGCCCAGCTGCGTGCATGTCCATGCCCTGGGTGTAGATCCCCAGATGAGGGGTCGCAATCTCGGTGCCCGTCTCATGGAGGCCGTTGCCCAGCGCGCCCGGGATTTGGGCCACCTGCTCGTCTCCGTCGACTGCACCAGTGTCTACTCCGCCCGGTTGGTGCAGCGCCTGGGCTACCAGCTCGTCAACACCCTGCGGTATGTGGATCACCTGGACGCCAGTGGACAGCAGGTCATCCGTCCACCGCCGCCACACGAAAGTGTCCAGACCTTCGTGCTGCACCTCTAGGAACTTGTTGCTGGGGGAACCTTATCACCAAGCCACCATAAACCATATCAATTCCTTATCGGAGGTATATCAACCCTACCAACTCTGTACAAAAAAATGACAAACGATGTGCCTGTAAAAGATTATTACAATGGGCGTAATTTGGAAAAAAAAGTATATATTTCTAAACCAAAATTATATTTATACTATATAAATGTATTATTTATAAGTTAACTTATATCACTGCGCACAGCATTTATGAAATTTAAATGTACATATAACTCGTAGATGAGCATTTTAAAATTGTCTACTTGTTAATCGTGAGTTAAAGCTATATTTTAAATACAAATATTATATATAGTATATTATATTTTCTAAAAACTACAAATTAAATTGTTAATATAAATAAACTAGCTAACAAGCTTTAAAGAAACTGTAAAAATAATAAAGCTACAACAAACATGTAGAGAGTTTTGTTTTATTAAAATAATGTATTAAGCATCCATTTTACTTACGAGAAACAAAAAAAATTTGCGGCAAGTTTAAAAGTTAAAATTATAATACTTATCATTCTAATTAATTGTTTTTTGTTTCCAACAAATTAATTAACTAGGAAGAGCAATTTTGTATTGTATGTAAAGCTTATAAGTAGCTTAACAATTTCTTAAAAGGTATTGTTACACTTAACTAAGATGCTCCTAAATGTTTACATTTCTGAAACACGAAATAAAGTTTCTTTAAGTGTAATTATCCGCATATTGCCAGAGTCATAAGTGTCTTGAGACTAATTAGTGATGTTAACTGAAAATTCAATTGCTGTTATGCGCCACTTGTGCGCTGCTTACGGTGGAATTGGGTGTGTGAGCATGTGGACTGTTGCCATGACAAATCCCGAGCTCCGAGGACGCCACATTCCAGGTGCCGAGCCCAGATCTCAGATGTGGATTACGGTGAATAAATCTCTAATTAATAATCCCTAATGAATCCTAAAGTACCTGCCCAAATTAAGCTGCATAGTTGGTTTTGCTTTGTTATATATTTGTTAAAGTATTGAGTTAATGGCATGCACTTAATAATTAGGCTTCTGGATATGCAAACCTATTTATTGTAAAATCCCCACGGTTGATATAGAAAAATTAAATGTTTGGCCAATTTTCTCATATTTAGCTGGAAACGAAAATCGAATGGAAATTTATAACGAATTTTAACGAGGTTTGACATTCCAACTTAAGACCATTGTTTTCCGGGGTTTTGATATAAAACGCATTTTTAGGTGTTATTTTTGGGGTTTCGGAAATTTGTAAAATAACAAAATTCCTTAAGAGTCCTTATGTTGTAACTTGGCCAAAATAAGACGCATAGTCATAGGAGTGACTGTTTTGTACAGCTGGGGACCTATACTAACCATCTACAATCGGTTTGGAGCAATTAAATTGGTTTAAATAAAAGAAAACGATTTTTCAAAATAGACTTTTTGAAAAATTAACGTTATGACCAATTTTTGCATTTTTGATAAGGGGGTACATCATCATTTTTTGCGAAAAATTGAAAATCTGAAACATTTTTAACTGAGAACGCCATTTGATTGGCAATTTAATGACGAATTCGCCGATGTATGACATTCCACCTGGTGACCATTTTTTCCCAAGGTTTTGATACAAAAACCGATATTTTAAGAGCTTTTTTTGGGTTTTGGAGATTTGACAAATAAAAAATACCTTAAGCGTCCTTTTGTTGTAACTTGGCCAAAATAAGAGGTAGAGCAATAAGATTGACTGTTTTGGACAGCTGGCAACCTATACTACCATCTACAATCGGTTTAGAGTCATTTATTTGGTTTTAATAAGAAAAATCGATTTTTCAAAATAGACTTTTTGAAAAATTAACGTTATGA